TTTGGCCCATTGCTGTTCGCTGCTGCGTGGGCCAGCTCCAGGCAAGTATTCACCCAGAGGCCAAACTCAATGCCTCTAAATAGTCAGCGGTCTGCAGGGGTTCAGTTCAATGCAAACATTCTTTAGCACACACCGTGCGCCCAGCCCTGGTGTTGATCCTGCATGGGAAACAAGAGACGATTGATAGGCGCTGTTGTGAATGTAGAAAATGTGCGAGATGTGATGATCTTTACCTTCAGGAACTAAGTTTAGTTGGTAAATGGGGGGGAGGAAAAGGAGGTGATTGTTATATGTGAAACATTAATGACAAATCCATGATATTAGGTAAATCATTCAATCTCTTGGAGCCTCAATTTTCTTATCTTTAAAAATGGAGTTAACTAAATGATTTAAAGGTGATAGTCTAGTTCCATGATAGTGGTGAGATTCACCTATGTAAACATCTGAAATAAAATTAATTCACGTGATGGAAGTGGGAAAAAGTTGGAGGAAGAGCTATCCCTTAATTTACCTCCCCTCTCAATACAACCAGTCTTGTCCATAGATTAGGCCTGAGAATTTGGGAAACGTGTGTATATACATCAGTGTGGGGCAAGGGGAGACAAGTTGTTGCTACACTTTTTGAAACGGACAATTTAAAATGGGAGATACAAGTTGATGGATGATGTAGAGCCCACCATTTAGAGCAGAGAGGTCAGCGAGTCTTTGCAGGGACATTTCCTGAGGATGTGGAGCTTGAGCTGGGATGGTGTATGAAGTAGCTTAGCTGGAAGGTTATTTGTTGCTTGTTGCTTTAAGAAGTAAGACATAAAAGTGCATATTTAAGATGGGGTCAACTTGTGGGGCCTCAACAGTTAAGTTTAACTTTAATAAACCTATCAGCCTAAGCTCGTATAAAGCCCATATGTTTGGTGGAGAGCTCTGTGTTAGTGTGGACAATGTTAAAAGGCAATTGTTTAGGGTTTATGTCTAGTTTGATTGTCTAGACAAAAACCCTAAGGATGACTGTCTAGAGTTTGTGACTAGACTGAAGTAAACTCTGAAATTTCCCTATGAGGGAAATAGACTAATGAGCTTTTCACGCTTTTTCACCTTCAGCTTTTCTGAAGTTATGAGTTCTGTTCATGTGTATATTCAAACTAAAATAAATAGGTGCCATCAGATTGGGAGATATAAGTGTTGTGCAGCTTGTCTGAAACCCAGAGTGGAAAAACAATCACACAAACACAAAAATTACATCCAAAATAAGAATGGAAAGATCTAGTGTACAATACCTTGCCGGACATCAGAAAGTCTTAGTTCAGGGAGGAAGGGGAAATCCCTTGGCATGGAAACTTCCCATTTTGAAAATATGTTAATTACTCCCTTGTTGATTCTTGAGGAGACACAAGGAATTTGTGATGAACAGGCAATCTAGAATGCGAGGTGTTCTATGTTAGAGTCAGAGAATGAAAAGCACAAAGACACATTTAAACAAAACCTGCTCCAATCTGTTTTGTAACCTATGACCTCTACACACACACTGACCATGCCATCATATCTTAATCAACCTCTTCCTTAGTCAAAGTTTTCACCTTACTCCTCAAACACAGCAAACATTTCTCTCTTACTCCCCATACTTAAGACACTCTCTCAAACCTCTTCAAACCATTTGAATCTTCTTTCTTTATATTACTCAGGTCTTTCCTCTTTAGAAAAGACTTTCCAAATCAATCCAATCCCAAACTCTACCCTACATCATTATTTTGTGTGCATGAAATTATAAAATATCTTGTAGTTCTACCAGTATCTCTCTTATGTGCAGGTGTTTTTTGCCTTCTAGGCAGTAAGCTCCTTAAAAGTGAAGTGTGAATTTTATTTATATTTGTTTCCCTACAGTGCCTTGTATATTAGGCATTCAAATAAATATTTGTTTATCTCAACATATCTACTGAATATTTATATGGGTTAACAACTGTCCTAGGAAATGGGAACCAAACATAAATCAGCTGTAGTTCTCCACCTAAAGGAGCTCACAGTTTAGCCAGCAAGAGAGATAATGAATGACTTGAATGCTACAGATTACAATGTCTATATTATGGATAAGTCCAGGATGCTGTTGAGCACAGAGGAAGAGAACTTAACTCAGCTGAGAGGAGATAGGGAGAGATTAGAACTGACACCTAAACTGAGCCTGGAAAAAAACAGTGTGAATTAACCAGGTGAGAAAAAGAGAAAACGGGCATTTGAGAAAGAGGGAGCAACACAAGCAAAACCATAAGAATTGAACAAAGCATGGCTTGTTTTGGGGAATTGGAAATAACTTATGCCTGGAACATAAGACTTAACAGAAAGGTAGCAAGAGATGAAGCTAGAGAGGAAGCCAGGGTCCAAATCCTGGAGTGAAATCCCTGATAGAAGCTCCTTATTCTATGAGTAATGAAGAGCTATTGAGAGATTTTCAGTAGAAGAATATATTGAATAATATATATATCTTAGGAATATGAAAATGATGGCAATGAACTATAGATTGGAAAAATGAAGAAGCCTTTATAAGGGTCTATAGTGGCTGCCAATTTGTGCCACTCACCTCTGTCTCCTAGCCCTGGATGACTTATTCAAAGATGACCAACCAGATTCTCTCTATTAGGAATGGGAATGTATGATAAAGACATGGAGAAATGAAAGATGATTGGAGCTATTATCTCATGCAGTGTCCCAGACTGAGTGACAGCTGCTAAGATCCCCAGGGCTGCCCCAGACCTAGTCCTCCCTTGAAGACTGATTATTCAACTATCCCTTTAATTCTTTGAGCTTTCCCAAGATCTCTTCAAGTAAATCCCTCTCTTCCCTCCTCTTCCCCCTCTTTTTTTTACTTAAATTAGAGCTCATTCCTGTTACTGGCAACCAGGAAAAACCCACCTAAACTGATAAAGCCTCTAAAGCAAGGTAGTGGCAGTGCAGACGGATGAAAGAAGGGTATCTAAAAGATGTTAGGGAGACAGAATAGGACTTGGTAACCAATGGGATCCATGGGCTAATAGATATAGTCACATGTTTTACTTGTTCACGTGAGTGAAAGGAGATGCAATTTATGTAATTAGAGAATAACAGGGAAAGGGTTCATTTTGGGGGATAAATAATGAAATTTTGGGTTTGGTCAGTTGAGTATGAGGTACAGGTGGGACATTGTTTAGTAAATCGTTTAAAATATGGCTCTACAGCTCAAGAGAGAGGTTTGGGGATACCATTACACACTTAGGAGTCAGCCTCCAGTAGATATGCTAGTTGAAGCCACTGCAGTAGATGAGGTCAAGCAGAAGCAATAACACGCTGAAGAGACGAAGGCAGAGCCCCAGGCACTGCTAACACCGGAGGTTTTAAAAGCATATTAGATACAATGGAGGAGATGATAAATGAAATAGAAACTAGAGAAGAGGAATACAAAGAAGCTGAGGCACAGAGAGAAAAAAGGATCTCTAAGAATGAAAGAATATTGAGAGAACTGTGTGACCAATCCAAATGGAACAATATTTGCATTATAGGGGTACAAGAAGAAGAGAGAGAGAAAGGGACAGAAAGTGTCTTTGAGGAGGTAATTGCTGAAAACTTCCCCAATCTGGGGAAGGAGATAGTCTCTCAGGCCATGGAGATCCACAGATCTCCCAACACAAGGGACCCAAGGAAGACAACACCAAGACATGTAGTAATTAAAATG